GGTCAGCTCTCGATCGACGGCCAAGTCCCGGAAGACAAGACCAAGATTGAGCAGATTGACGCGGAAGAGTCGGTCGACGCATTTGGTAACAAGGTCGTCACCAAGGTCAAGCGAAAGCTCACCCGCAAAGAGCTCAAGGCCAAGCTCAAGGCCAAGAAGGACGCCGAGAAGCGTGGCGAACACTTCAGCGACAGCGACTTGGACGGCCTCGAGGACTAAAACCCAAGCATAATCTATTTGACACACTGCTATCGTGAAAATTGTTGCCACCTTACTTACATACATGCACAATGCATTAGATCAGTTTAAGTATCGAAGAAAGCATAGTTTTCTCTTTATGACACGTCTGCAGCTGCAGAAACGTCGCCTGCACAGTTTGGCTCTTACGAGGAGCGAATGTGGTCGGCAATATCATCCATGGCCATCGCGAGCGCATCCGTCGTGGCAATAATCCAAGGGTTGCCGTGCAACGCATTGGCGAGTTGCGTTACGGGCGCGCGGCAACCTTCGCCGAACCCAAGACAAAATGACCGGAGACCGAGACGTTCGTAATCGGCCCACAGCGCCGCGCCAAGGGCAGCGCCGTCGTCCTTGTTCCTCGGCGCATCTGCCGTGAAGAAAATGATCACAGGGGCGCGGCTCGTCTGGTTGAGTACGTTGCGGGAAAAGATGGCGCTGGCCTCCTTCATCCCGCTCGAGTAGTAGTTGAATATGCTGCCACAGCGAGAAAAGTTGACGCCCTTCATGGCTTCGACTGGTTGGCACTCGTACTCGACACCACCACGATAGGCAAACGTAGCAATTGAGATGACGTCGTTGGGCGAAAGCTTCTTGATGCAGGCGCGGACACTGGCCAAGAGGGCGACCCACGATGCTTCCGATGCGCTGGACGAACTGAGCACGAACAGGACGTGCTGTGAGGAGCCCGTGACGACGTGCCCGCAGTTGAATTCATGACCACCGGCCGTGTTGCGGCCTGTCACCGGTGTGTGGCCGGCTCCCAGAATGCAGTACGCGGGCGCATCACTATGGCTCGGGGCAGGGCATTGATGCGGACACAGCTCAAAGGCATTGCGGTCGGCGCGGTCTTCGACAGCGTCCTCCCAGCCGATTTCGGCCAAGTACGCTGCGTGGAGGTACGAGTCCATTGCATGACCTTGCGCGTTGGTGTGCGTCGAATGGGTGCGCCCAGCCGTCGGGTTGGCTTCGCACTCTTCCTTGGACTTGTATTGGCACCGAAGCAAATGTCCGTGGCCTCGCCCAAGCTCCTTGCAGAGCAGCGGGCACATCTCGGGCGCGCACGAGTCTCCGACGCAGTACGTGCGATCGCTAATCTTCAAGCGGCCGCTGGCTAACGACGCAAACGCGGCTTGCACCATGTTACCATGCGTCGTCTTGTGTCGATTAGCGTGCCCCATCGGAAGTTCACAGATGTAGTTGCAGCTCGGGCACTTTTCTTGACACGAGTGCAACTCGGCAGTGCACTTGTGCCCACCGCCGTGGTTGCGCACGCCAGGCTCCAATACAACATTGCACGCGTTGCGCTCGCCGACCACGTGTCGAACGTCGTACTCGAATTGGCTCTCTTTCCCGACGAAAGTGCCGCGCTGTGGCTCGGACCGGTGGTAGCAAAACCCCGGCACCTCGCATTCGTGGCCGCAGACGTGGCTGTTTCCGCACTGATGATGCTCGGCCTCGTGAAAATGGCTCTGCCCGATGCAAATGCCGCCCTTGAAGCAGTTTGGCATGTCGCATGGCTGGCAGCAGAACGTTGCACCGCACTCGTGTCGGTCGTGGTTTTCGTCGAAACCAAGACTGCAAAATGCAGTGCAGCTAGGCGCTTCGCAGCGGTGGGGACACAAGTGCGCCTTCACCGCGCACCGGTGGCTCCCTGCATGGTCCACAGGCAGTTGGCACTTGACGTCGCACTTGCGACTGCCCTGCAAACCGCATATCTTTTGGCACGTGTGACCAGCCGTCGCGCAGTTGCAATGTCCTTCGTGGCCAGCCATCAGCGCACACGGTGCAGACCGTGCGTCGTTCAACGCGGGGCAGTGCGCGCAAAATTGCGGACACTTGTGGTCCGTGCCGCAACTGTGTGTTGCGCTCGCGTTGGGCTTCGTTGCATGCTGACTCATCTGCACGCATAGAAGGTGACACTCGCTGCAGTTGGCTTTGCACGGCGCTGCGAGATTCTGGAAGTCGCACTTCGAGCTCTCGAAGCCCTCGAGCTCCGGGCGGTTGTTGATCGAAAGCTTTTGGTACCAGCAGAAAACGCGATGTTCCCGCAGCCAGACAGCAAACTGCCAGTAGGTGATGAATTTCGCATCGAGCTCCTTGGTTCGTTGCTTGTCACCGAGAAAGCTCTTGCGCTGAACGTCCAGGCACAACTGCATGGCACGTAGCGGCTCCTTGCCGGTCAATGGAAACACAATCTCGTCGAGTGCCAAGACCTGCTTCGGGTCCATGTCGATCGTCACGCCTTCCTCAGTGCAGTAGACCTCGCGGAGCCGCTCTGGGGTCTGTTCTAAGGGCGCTAAGTCGCCAAGCCGTCCGCCAGTATTCGGCACCTTGCCATTGGCCAAGGCAGCTGTCACCTTGTTGTGCCACTGGCGCGCCTTTTGGTCTTTCACGACGCTCTTCATCGACGTCCAGTCCAGCGTTTTGATCTTTGCGAGCAGAAGCGTGAGACAATCGTGGTAGTCGCGTCCTGACTCGTAGCGCAATGCACCGTGCATCATGAACTTGTACATCTGCGTGAGCGCGCTGTAGTACTTGCGGTTCGTATTGCCGGGGCTCAGGACGCTCTTTGGGTCACCGACGTACATGGTGGCAGCAAAGTCGTTGCCAGCGTTTCGAACGCTTGCAAGTTTTCTCCCGAGCTCGGCCTTGACGGTCTGCATGTCCGGCGGGTTGACGTCACGAACGTTGAGGAGAAGCGCACCTTTGAAGGCGGGGTCGTAATCCTTAATGAGCGACGCACCTTGCTGTATGCTGGTTAGCATGTTATCGAGGTCGCGATCGAAACGCGTTTCGAGACGGAAGACTGTGCAGCGCGAGACGGCCGCGTTCAAGATAGAGAGAAGGACGTCCTCTTGCATCGTGCGCTCGAAAGACCCGAGACCCTCGAAGTCCATCACAACAAGCAGCTCGTCACCGAGGACACGGTACGTTAGCCACGCACCGTCCGTGCAGCGAGCCCCCGATACGGCGAACGACGACCCCGAAAAATGGTTAAGAAAGTAGCTCTTGCCCGTCGACTGTTTGCCCATGACTGAGATGACGGACACCTTGCCGGGCCAATGGCGAAGAACTGTCGAAATGAGGCCGAAATGCATGTGCTGCGCAATCTCGACCGTCGATGCGGCCGGAAACTCCATGCGCTTGCCGTGGCGCAGTGGCTCCAGTCGGTTGTTGATGGCGCGGGCGACTTGAATTGGCACCATCGCGAGCAGCTCCAAAAACCAGCGCACGAGCGGCACGCGGGCGCGAGGAATGCGCTGGACAGCTTTAGGGTCATCACGCGGATACGTGGTGCAGTCTTTGGCCAGCTGCAATGTGCGTAGCTCCTTCGCAAGGTCTTGCAGCTGCGTCATCGTATGGTCGAGTAGCGTCTTTAGCTGTGTTTCTTGGTGTATGTCCTTCGTCGCCACGTGAATGCAAAAGCTATTGGGTAGCAGAGATTGTGCTTTTTCTCCGTCGGCGTAAATCGTTGGTGACACGGGGAATTTTTCGAGCACGTGGAAGAGCGGTGTGAGCGCGTGCTGGTTCTGGGTGCGGTCGAGGTCCGTCTCGACTTCAGGGCTGTACATCCATTCGGTTTCGTCGAATTGCAGTGACACCTTGAACGCTCGCGTCTCCATCGACACTTGGTTCAAAAACACGAGCGTCGACGTGCCGTAGTACGCCATCGCAGTCGTCGTGTTCCAATCCCAGTCATCGTCCAGTGCCACCACCGTCGCAGCCCCAAACTCCATGCCGGACGACGTCATCAACGGTTCGACGCGCACCGCGTTCGATGCGCTATCTTTCGAGAGCACCAGCACGACGTTTGGATTCCACTTGAGCACGCGCTTCCCGCTCAAGTTGATGTCGTTTGAGATCGCTCGGGTCGTAAGTGAATACGTGCGCGCGCTGCTGTCGTGCTTGTCGTTTTCTACCACCAGTATGCGCGGTGCATCGGTCGTCCCACACAAGAGGAGGTGCTGGACGTTCGTGGGATTGAAGCTTGCGAGGTTGTAGTCCTTGAGCACTTTCATGCGCTCCCATGTTGCGTTGAGCTGGTACATGACGAGATTCGTGTCAGAGTGCAGCAGCGCCAGCCTACGCGTCGACGGGTCATAGTCCCCCCGAAGCACCGTTCGTTGCGACGTCTCGGTCTTGATGAGGCGAGCGAGCGCATCTTGCTGAAGGCGGTGCGTTTCGAGAGCCACGCCGCCCTGGGGGTGTCGGTAGACGACGAGCGCATTCGATTGTTCTATCGCGCAAACGACCACGTCGGCGCCCAGTGGGAGCTGAATGCGAAAGGCAGTCGCGTCCGGGTAGCGCGTCAAGTGCAGAAGCGTCGCACGCTTTTCACCATCCGCGAGCGTGTAGCGGGCGAACGACACCCCATACGTCTTGCTTCGTGCGGTAACAGTGCCGACAGCGAGTTGGGGTGCTGCCTCGTCATGGTACGCGTTGTGCTTGGCGAGGACGTCGCGAAACAACGTACGGACAAGCTTGGTGCGCGCTGTCTGGAGTCGTGCGCTCCAGTCCGTTGCTTGGAGCTGACGTTGGACCGTGTAGCCGACGTAGCTTTCCCCAAGCTCGTGAGCGAGCATGTTCTTCCACTTGGCCAACTCGGCATCAAGACGCTGGCGGTGAGGTGACGCAGACGTCCGTGACATGAATGCGCTTTGCGCCAAGTACGGTCGCTGCAGCGGCCGACCGCTGCGGGCGACGGGGTTGGAGCGGCGCAGAAACTCTTGGTACTCGCCGTCCATCAAGACAGCGACCGCGGGACGAAAGTCCAACCGCTTGGCAACGTCCGGCTCGAGCTCGCGGAGAATTCTGTCCATCGCCTTCATTGCATCGGTCTCGGATGCAATTGTCGCACCCGGTGCAACGCAAAAAAGCGTCGGAGCCAGCGCCAGCAGCTTGTTGTGAACGCGGTCGAGCGCCGTTTGGGCTACTGCCATGCATCGTTGGTGCTCCTGCAACTTGAGAGACTGTTCGGTCAGTTCCTGCGACGGGTACGCATGCCGTTCTTTAAGTACGGCCTTCATGAGCTCCAAGGGCAGCGACGGCGCGTGGAGGCGCTGCGTCACTTGCTGTGTCCAGAACCACGCTGCAAACTTGTTCGACCGCTCAAAATTCTGCGTCTTGTAGTTCGTGTCAAGGTAATGCGCTTCCGACGTCGTCATCGTGACGAACGACGAGTTGTTGTCGTGCAATGGTAGCAAAGACCCGAAGCCGCGGCTCTTGTCGTCGCTGGTCAGTGCCGTCGTCGACTCGAGTGGCTTGCATTCGGTCACGGCGTCCACAACCGTCGTTTCGTGCACTTGAAGGTCCGACATGAGCATCGAGTCGTCAGACTCAGAGGACACGACGTCTGCTGCGTTTTGGATGTGGCGCCACTCGCTATCGCCGAGGCAGTAGATAATTTTCGACGTAAGTGACGTGAGGAACCGCAGCGCAAAGGTGGTGCGCTCCGTAAGGTTTGGCGGCTCGTAGGCCGTGACCGGGAGCCAAGAAAAAAGAACGATATGACCCGTGCCGCGATCATGAATCGCGTACACACCGTCAGCAGTTGCAGTGGCCACCACGTCATCGGACCAAACCCCAAGTTTTAGGAGTTCGGTTCGAACGGCGGCTTGCAACCCGAAGCAGCCGATGACGTCCACATGCGCGTCGGTGTCCTCGTCCGGTGAAAGAAGATGCTGCAATGCGTCGACGACCGTTGTCGCGCCGCCGCTGAAGCCGAGGGACTGGAGCAGCGGAAGAACGCTATTCTCGACCAAGGTGGGCTGGAAGAGCGTTTGGTCGTGGTCGAGCACGACGTCGAAGTCAAGTAGCTGAACGCAGGTCGATGAAGCTGGTTTGATGGCCATAGTGCAGGTTGCAAAGTGAGGATTGCGATTCGTTTGGCCGGGCTTGATCAAAATTGTATCAACTTCGTGGTATCAACTGATCGTAGTTGATACAATTCGGTACCAACCAATCAGATCCATGTGATAAATTCACCAGCCAATGGAAGGCCGCCAGAAAAAGACAGACATGTTTTTGTCCCATCGTGCCTTTGCCGCCGTCCAAAGTCACAGCAAAAAGGTAAATCGACAGGTGAACCTTAACCACTGACCACGGTCCCGTGCATAGAGCATTCCGGCAGACAAGATGATCGGGGCCCTCGTGCATCCGCACGCAGCTGGGCGCCACTTGGACAACGCGGCGCGGGCTGCGCTGTCTTTCTGTCAAGAACCGACTTGATGGTTCCGACGTCAACGCCAATGGGAAAGAGAAGAAAGGGACAACACCTACGGGGCTCGAACCCCGCACCTCCCGCGTGTGAAGCAGGAATCCACGACAAAAGGTGGTCGACTGAGTGCCATCTGCATCTTGACAGTTTCAGCACGCTTCGCCATGCGACGCCGCCGCCGGATGGCTGCTCGCGTATTCTTCGAGTCGCTGGAGTGTCTTCTACATCACGCCCTACTTGTACTGTAGTTGAGAGAAAGGGCCGGAGCATCCGTATACAACTACTGTACTACTGGGTCCGGCGCTCTAATCTTATCGATTTGGTTTGTGATCGCCAGCGCAAGCAATTCCTACAAGCGCCACACGCGTGGACGATAGCCTTCGTCAAACCCGCGACATCAGACTAGAGACCAGTATGGTCATGGTCGGCCACCCAAAAGTGCGCCACAGTCGTCATTTGTACATATCGAACGTTTTGTTTAAAACACTCTGTCGGGTGGTCCGAGTACATGAGCCTGCGTACGACCTCGCGCGAGCTATGACTCGGCGAGTGGGGTCAACCAAGGGATGGATCTCTCCGTCCGCAGCTCACTCCCAACGACCAAGTGCTGGAGCCAACTCCCACGCATTCAGGCGTAGCGCTACGTATGCGAAGTCTTATCATGAAGCGGCAACAATATTCATCAAGCGCCATGGGACGGCAGTTTACAATATATTTATGGTCATGCCAGTTGCTCCGGCATCGTATCGAGCTTGGTGTAGGTAGCCGAACGACGTTTGCGCTCGGTACCAAGGTACCTCCAAAGACCAAACACGCCAATCATGCCAATCAGTAGCACCCAAAGGACGAGTGCATACGGGTTGGATGGCGCTGGAATCTGGCGCAGACGGAGACCAAGGCCGTCGACGACGTGGCTGTTGCGCTCCACGGCCTTCTGAAGCGTCTGCTGCATCTCGCGGAGCATCGCAAGCTCCTGTGTCTCGAGCTCGTCGTCCACCGTCTCGTGAAACCCCGCCGCTTGCTTGTGGTGCGCCGCGTCGATGACGCGCTGTAGCTCGAGGATCTCGCTCTCCGTGTCTTTGAGAATGCCTCGGAGGTTGTGCAGCTTCAAATTGTCGTCATTTTCGCTCGCGTCGCCAAACCGCCACCCTGGAAGCAGCGCCTCGAGCTCGGTCGGGTCGGCATACGGCACAAAGTGCAGCTGGTTGCACGCGGCAAAGTCCTCGTCGGCGTCCGTCGTCGAGATGTTGACAAAGGCGAAAAACTGCTCCCGCGAGCGAACGCGGCCGCTGCCGTACGTGTGAATCTCCCGCGCGTCGACGTCACCGGTAAACGACTGCTGAAACATGAGCCGGAGCCGGTTGTACGCGACGGTTTCTTCGCGGTCGTGCTCGGCTTGCGTCACAAGGCGCGTGACGTTGTCCGTGAAGCTACATGCGTCCATGAGCCGACACAAAATCATCGCACGGATCTAGCTACCGGTGCTTGTGGCCATCGTCGGTCCAGTTGTGAAAGACGACGTTGCCATGCCGGCTTGGCGAGTAGAGATCGTACCCCCGCGTCCAGAGCTGGAACGCATGCAGTACCTCTTCGCCATAAAAGACCCAGTTCATGTACGGATCGACGGGCGCCCGGCGCCACGCATGGCTCTTCCCAAACGAAAAGCCGCCGGCCCACGCGACCGACAAGAGCGGACGCTCAAAATTTTGCGAGATGAGGATGCCCGAATAGTAGATGACGGCGTTTGCGGCCACGCGCGGCTTGTAGTTGCACACGTGGGAGCCGTAATCGCCATCAAACGTCGCGTTCGCCGAGAGGTGGTTGTAGCCAAAGGGGTAGTTGGAGAGCACAGCCATTTCGTTGTTGGTCGCGGCCCACTCGGCAATGACCAAGGTATCCCAGTGACGCGTAAACTGCACGTGCGCATCGACCATCATGCCAAACTCTTGGTCACCCAGGAGCGCGTGCAGCTGCGCGCGGGCAAGGGTCGGGCCTTTGGACGTTGCCGCCGACCGCACGTCGATCGTGATCTGCGATTTGAACTTGCACGGCTCGTTTGGCCACGTCTCGAGCGCGCGGACGCAGTAGGCGTCCACGCAGGCAATGTCGTCGTCCAGCGTCTGGTCTACAACGCCAAAGAAGACGTTTTCTGGGTGGACCGCGCGCGAATAGGCCGTCCACAGCGCAAAGCCGCACTTGAACCCATCGCGGTAGGACGCGACGCCGACAAAGATGTCGCGCTTGTCCGTGAGCCGAGGCGGCGGCGGGCGGAGGTGCGACAGGTCCTTGCGTAGAGGAGTGTGCTGCTCAGTGGTGTCGTAGATCGCCATGTACTCGACGCCGCGGACGTCGTACAAGAGTGTCTGCATAGTCTCGTTCGCAACTGAAAAAGTGCAATATCCACAGTCGCAACGCGTGTGATTGGCTCGTTTCTGCGACGATTGCCAACAAACAAGGCAAACTCGATCGCCTGTGGGCAAGGATACAGACCTTCGCAGCCTCTGTCTCACATGAGTGCACTCGTCCAGCAATATATGTATTGCTACGAAAAGAACAATGGCCGCTCCAGTCTCCAATATATATTTGTGCATTTGCCTCGCCGGCTACATTTACCGATCGAATTGCTGCCATGTCCACGAGCGTTGGTCACCCCGGCAAGCGTCGGGCTTGGTACGTACGGTACGCAGCGCACGCAAGGGTATCGGATGGGGTAAAGGAAGGCGGGATGCAGCTTGTCCCACAACGTCATTTCAGTATCGCGGAATGTCGCTAACAAATCGAATCAAAGACGCTCAAATAGGAAGAGGGGGGCGAAGCGTGCGAACTCGACGAGTGAGATGGCAAGTCCTCGGACGGGTGTGCGGCCGGTTGCACCAAGCCGACGACAACTGTGGTCTTCACCGTCCCGCATGGCGTACGTACGGACTTGTGATTGATAACGTTACACCATTACACATCTGATGCGTGGGTGCCGCAAGATTCAAACCGAAAATAGTGTTGGCGGTATCGATGAAAGGTGTGCTTTCAAAGGAGGCTACCAAAGAGAACGGTGCAAATCTTGCACGCCGTTCATTATCTTCAAGGGATTTCTATATTTTAAATTCCCAGCTTTTCTGGACAAAGTTGATCGGCCGTGGCAAGGCGATCTAAGGTCTTTGTGGATAGAATGGCACTGCGAATACATGTATCTGCTTTAGCAGCGATTGATGTCGACCCAACGACGGACCTTGGAGCATCGAAGACGTCATCATACGTTCAAGTCCAGAGATACATGGACGTCGATGTTTCGTGGTCAGCTGGATGCCCTTTCATGAGAAAGGTGAAAGCGACTGCTACGACTGCGGTTGCCAGCGCAAGATTCGATCTCCGCAAGGCATGTTGCCGAATCAACGATGAGTATGCATTTTGCACTTGTCCTCAATACATACTAGTAGCCCATCGATGTGTCATCGAGCAAGCATCGATAATTCCTAGACGTAATTTAAACCAATCAGCGTTCGTGCAACATCGAAAACCCAACTTCAACTTGGGCTTGGCGCCAAAATGGCCGTTCCGACACGGATATAAACGTTGTCCAATCACACGCGGCGCTGCCTCCAAGCTGTCGCCGCCACTGACAATTATAGCGCAACATCGGCAACGTTTATCAGCGCCGAGATCATTCTTCTTTTGACCGTGCGCTTCGCACCTGCCAACAAGCCCAGCGACAACTAGCCACCTCGCCACCATGCCCAAGAGCCCGAAAGCCAAGAGCCCCACGAACGCGACCGCGACCGCGGCGGCGAGTCCCAAGGCCGGCAACGGCGGCAATGTCACCGAGGCGCTCAAGCAAGCCTTTGCGACGGCGCCCGAAAACCTCGACGTCGCGGCCGCCAAGGTCGCCGACGTCGTTGCTGGCGCCAAGGACGCCAACCTCGGCGCTGTCACGGACCAGCTCAACGCCGCGCTCGTCGACGCCGATGCCGGTACGCGTCAGAGCGCGTGTCACATTGTGACGGCGCTCGCCAAGAAGAAGCTCGCGCGTCTCGAGCCATACCTCTCGCCGCTCCTCGGCAACGTCCTCGACGGCTACGCCGACAAGAAGATCCAAGTGCGAGGACCCGCCGCCGAGGCCGCCAAGGCCATCGTCGACTCGGTCAACCACAATGCGATCCGCGTGCTGTTGCCACACATCTTTGGCGGCATGGACCGTACGAAGAAGTGGCAGACGAAAGAAGGCGCGCTCAACTTGCTCGCGGAGCTCGCCGACGTGGCGTCTGTCCAGGTCTCGCGCTGCCTCCCCGACATCATCCCGAACGCCACCGAGCAAATGTGGGACACGCGCCCCGAAGTCAAGAAGGCCGCCCACGCCGTCATGATCAAGGCGTGCAGCACGGCCTCGAACGCCGACATTGAGCCGTTCATTCCCGCGCTCATCTCGTGCATTGCCAACCCGGCCGAGGTCTCCGAGTGCGTGCACAAGCTCGCGTCGACGACGTTTGTCAAGACGGTCGAGGCGCCGGCGCTCGCCATCATGGAGCCGCTCCTCGTCCGTGGTCTCAACGAGAACAAGACGTCGGTCAAGCGCCAGACTGCTGTCATCATCGACAACATGTGCAAGCTCGTCGAAGAGCCTGCGGAAGCACTTCTCTTTAC